GATTGATTCATTTGTGTATTTTCAGTTTCCCAAGATAAAAAAAAGTTCTGGAGATGGATGGTGGTAAAATCAATAAATGCATATCCTTGGGTGAGGATTTTTTTAAATTTTTTTAAAAAGCTATGAAAAAAAGGGTAGCTATATTTCGGGTCTCCTGTCCTGAAGCAGACCCTTTCAAATACAGAAATCAATAAATGCATATCCTTGGGTGAGGATTTTTTTTAAATTTTTTTTAAAAGCTATGAAAAAAAGGGTAGCTATATTTCAGGTCTCCTGTCCTGAAGCAGACCCTTTCAAATACAGCCTAGCCCAAGCATGTCAAACTCACGGCCCACAACGAATATTTTTGCAGCCCAGCCAATATAAGTCTGTAAGAAACGTTTTAATAAAAATTTCGTAATAATGACTGATGACTATAATCCTGTTGCATTCATTTCCCTTACTCGAAGGTGCACCACTTCTCTCCACTAATACTAGCAGTGAATATTTTAGCAGCATCGTTAGTCTTGTACTAACTTGTTTGGTGTGCACAACAGGAAATATTTCGCTTTCGGAGAACAAGAAAAAATAGGTTTAACTTTGCAAAAAACATCAGCTATTGGTCTTTTGGCTAGAGGAACCAAGGAAGGTGTGGCATTTTTGAGCTGGTACTTCAAGGACAGCTAAGATTTCAAAGTCCCAAGTCCGGCTGAAGTGGGGATTGAATGAAGAACTCCATACAGGGGGATGAAATGAACACAGGCCCACACGCTAACTAAAAACCTAGACTGTGCTAGCAGACTGAGACCCAAAGAGGACAACGGAGAACATTCCCATTTTAACGTGTCACGAGTTTACAGAATAGGAAAGCAGTGAAAGCTGGTGTGGTAAGTTTACTCATTTGTGCCGCAAACATTTCTTGGGGGTCCAACATGTGCCAGGTACCTGTGCCAGCAAACAGGTAAGAGGTTAAAAATGGCAGCCCTAGCTGGTTTGGCTCAGTGGATAGAGCCTCGGCCTTCGGACTGAAGGGTCTCGGGTTCGATTCCGGTAAACACGCCCAGGTTGCGGGCTCGATCCACAGTAGGGGGCATGCAGGAGGCAGCCGATCAATGATTCTCTCATCATTGATGTTTCTATCTCCCCCTCTCCCTTTCTCTCTGAAATCAATAAAAATATATTTTAAAAAATTAAAATTAAAAAAAGAAAAATAGGTTTACTTGCATTATGCTTATTAATTTACAGTTATTCAGTGTCTGATAAGTTAATGTTCAAGAAAAAATATTAATTTTTATTAAAATGTTCTATTATTTTGTTAACGATGACTCATTTACTTCAGCCCTTTGTATTCAGCATGTCTCTATCGAAATAAACCTACGTTTCTATGAAAATTGAGGTTTTTGTGTTTTTGCAGCCCACATAAACTTCAACCTTGTTTATTTGGCCGGTGTTAGCCTTTGAGTTTGACATGCTAGCCTATTTACAGAGACCTTATCACGGCCTGGGAGCTACTGAACCTACAGTGACAGACACGCACATGCTTACTGTACTTGCTTATTTATCAACAAGACACAGGAGAGGAGCCGGGGCAGAGTGATGTCCACTGAGGACGGTTCCTCAGTCCCAGGACTGGGCCTGAAAGGCAGTTTCCAAAGTTAACTGGACACCACCCCCGAGGGCTGTTCCGAGCACCCCCTGCATCCCCCGCACTTCAGCCGCACGGGCATCAGAGTAAGACCAGCATGCGCCAGGGGAGGGGACACCTCTATGACCGAGGCCAAAGGGATTCTGGGAGCACCACCTTCCGAGGTCTGCCTCGCATTTGCTAAAAGAACAAAAACGTAAAGTTTTGCCAAAAATGAACAAACTGGTTTCAAAAAGAGCCGTCTCTTCTTTCTTCTTTGATTTTTCTCTTAAAAAAAAAAAATTAAGATCCATGGACCTGCAACTTAAACATGCCAAACCTGTTGCATGTTTAAACCCTCATCTCGAAAAAAGCCCAGTTTAAAACCTGACAGTTGTGTACAGCAGCGATTTTCAGCCTTTTTCATCTCATATACGCTGATGGCTGAAATTTTGCGGCACACCAGAAAATACAGTGCAGTGTGCCGACCGGGCCCAAGATAAAGGTATGATCTTGTTTCATTCGTTCTAGACGCTACCGCTGTGCTGGCTGCTGTCACTGTATTACTTGGCAATCCAAGTGCCCCTGACTGAATAGCCAGGTATTGCACGCTTTTAAAATCCTCGCGGCACACCCTTTGCACACCGCTGGTCTGCGGCATTAAAGACAGGTGCACGGATACCGAGGCAGCCAGCACCGGGCAGGGGCGAAGCAGGGCTGCTCTAGGCCCTGTGAGCACCTGTGTATCTTTGCAGACCTGTGTCCGAGCGGGTTTTATGCAGAAAAGCTCAACAGAGAAGGTGAGCGGCCCCCTCGGTGAGTTTGCAACAACTTCCTCTCCCTCTGAACCGGATGCTCTCTCCCAACCGGACCCGGGACCTGGTCAGCAAATTACACGCTGCTTTTCCACGTCGGAGTCTCAGGCTTTCGGGAGAGCGAGGGGCACAGAATTCAAAGAGCTGGACACAGGGACGCTGGCGCCGCCGGTGGGGCTCAGGGGTGGGGATGCGACCTGCGAACCAGGTCCCGGTCCGAGTCCCCATCGGGGCGCTGGCTCCATCCCCCGTGGGGGGCGCGCAGGAGGCAGCGATGGGTGATGCTCTCATCACTGATGTTTCTCTCTCGCTCCCTTACTCTCCCTACAATGCAATTTTTAAAAAACACATAATTATTTTTTTAAAAAAACAAAAAAAAGTCAGGCTGTCCGTCTTCAGCCGGGTGCAGGTCTTCCGTCAGTCCCGTTCGGAGATGCAGGGCTTCCGTCCCTCTTCGCCGGGCACCGCTCCTTCCGTGGCGACCGCGGGGAGAACGGAGCCTCCACTCCGACCGGCCCCGCACCCCGTGCACGCGGCACCGGCGCC